CTGATCCTGGGACAGAACCCCTAGATGCAGTGGTGAGAGAATTTGTATACAGGTACTGTATTTGCACATTTATGAATTCTTTTCTCATGTGGCTAGGCAGGTGATGATCTCAAGACTCTTAATGTTCACTACCTAGAAAGTAACCCAAACTCCTTGACAGGATGACATCCACCAAAGGGTTGTTCCCCCATAAGCAAGTGTACTCAACATTTACAGCACGGTACATGTATTGGTAAGTGCAGAAGGTCAAGTGTACAAGGAGGACACCCAATCCTACACTCTGGCAAAAGTTATGCCAACTGAGCTCTTTTATATATATATATATATATATATATATATATATATATATATATATATATATATATATATATATATATATATATATATATATATATATATATATATATATATATATATATATACATATATATATATATATATATTGAAAATACACTACACATTATCGCACCATTTTACGACTTTGTATACGAGCATGTTTCTGTGTTTATAACTGTGTATACCCTGAAACAAAGATATTAAAAGGTTAAGAAAAATATGCCCTTCATTTGATTGCTTCTGCCAACACAGACCAAGGGTGTGGAGCTAGATGATTGAGAGAGCATGTAAGAAAAATATTTGGTATACCAAAAAAGTAATTACTGTATACCCCCTGTACTGTATAGTGCTTGTTAAACTTTTTCTTTAAGTACTGTTACTTAATTTTAATAAATGCTTTCAACCCCATCTCTTTAATCCCACTGTTTACCTGTACAATGAGTAATACTAATACAATAATAAGCTAATAGGTTTTCCATATTTTAACTGCTTTTGTTCATTATTATTATTGTTGTAGTGAGTGACCATGTGATTTCCTGTAGAAACATGACTGAACTGCTGTGATCAGAGGGATAATCTTAACAAATTAGATGAAGAATGATCTTGGTGTAATATATAGAGCCTCATCCCAAGTAGACTTAGTCCACTAGCGATCATCAAAGTCTTGTCTTTTACATTGGTTATGCCTTCAAAATTGGCAGCAATTGAGATCACCTTGTACAACCAGTATATTGTGTTAAAATTTTAAGGTCAAAATCTGATAAAACTAGATAATCTTCATATCACTTTCATGGCAAAATCAGAGCTGTGATGCACCACCAATCTGTGAAGGTTTTGGTTCCTTCTCTCTCCTATCGTCTTCGCTTTCATATCCTTCTAATCTCATGTACCTCTCCACTTTTCCAATCCCACCCTCTATTTACTCATACTTCCATCACTTACATCCCCCACCCCTAAATTTCACACCTCCAAACTTGCACTGTATTGTCTTTGCTCACTTGACAACCATGTGGAATCTGGTGTGTTTTACTTATTATTCTGCTGTGTGAGGTATTTTGGGTGTGTTTGGTGAAATGACAGCAAAACATTAATGAAGAAATTTATCCTGAATAAGTTCCTGAATACCCAGACTGATAGTAAGAGTAATGGGTCATTATCTGAGGAAAGAAAGGATAATGATATTAACCTGATGGTTAGCTTTCATGTAAACTCAATGAATGAGAATGATGGATGCTCTGTAAAAGCCTGTTTCATTATATTATTCAAAATTGCTCTAATAGAATATGAACAAAGTTTTTGGCAATACAAGAATTGTAAAGGATATGAAGACAAAAATAATTTCAATTAAAAAACTAATTTTTAAGTACAGTATTGTATATAGCACTACTAACAAATTTCTAAGTGAGAGAAGTAACACTAGAACATGATGCATGAAGTCCATTCCAAGACAGCTTTAAGCTGCACACTAATAAGTGAGGTTCCCACTTATTCTCTAGTTACCAATATTGTACAGTGTATATGCTCAATTACTTAGATTACCAATACTTCAACATATTCTTTGTTTTCTGACATAACTTGGAATGAAATATGAATGATCTTATTTCAATTCAGTGACAAGTATTGTATAAGATCATAACTCAAAGTTTCAGTTACCTGTACAGCTAATTCTTATACTGACTGTTATAAATCACATTTGAGTAATTTCGATTTCTTGAAAAACAGCTTGTGAGATTACTGTCTTGCAATAGTCACACTGGTAGTTGCTGTTTGAAGTGGATGAATCTTTGGAAGGTTTAATAATGGAAGCCATCACCAAAAAAACATTTAAACAGATGCTACCATATACTGTAGGTATACTGTACTGTAATAGGATCCCGGCAAGATCCCATGAGTAAGACCAGAAATGTTTTAGTCCACCAACAGTTGGCTTTCGAGTACATCACACAAGAATAAGTGGAGGTCTACTTGCCAAGGGTAGGAACCCAGCCCTCCTCAGATATACAGTGCTTAGTTTGAAATAGCATGTTATACAGTATTGTGCATTCTATTTCCTATATGGTGGAGATTCTCTTGGAATGTGACACTCTTCTTTTTATGGAAAATGCCATACAGTATGGATTTTGACAAATACCATTCTTTCAGTGCTAATTTTTATAACACATCAATTGTTTTCTGACATTAGTTGTACAGCATTGTAGTTCTAAATAGTTGAGGATCACACCTTGTTACATGAAGAACAATTTTATGACCATTTCTAATAAAATTAACTTATACAGGTAATATATATATATATATACTGTATATATATATATATATATATATATATATATATATATATATATATATATATATATATATATATATATATATATATATATATATATATATATATATATATATATATATATATACTGTACTGTATATGATTCCAATTATGAAATTTTACAATTAAGTATTATGCATTCAAGTCCACAAGCAGATATTGAAAGAATATGAAAGAAGATAGTTGTTCAAAACAGTCACTATTCAGTAATGTATAGTAGTATTTACAATATCAATACATTTGATAACTTTCTTTCATATTATGAAACTACTTATTGTAGATTCTCACAATATGGGGAAATATCAACTCACGTTTACTTACAGATGACTGCTTTTACTTCCTTTCAAGCTGCTGCATCAACTCATACTGTCATCCTTTAGAAAAATGAGAAACATTCCCTCCCAACATACAAGAAAATGTATTACTTTATGTGTACAGTATTTACACACACATATATATATATATATATATATATATATATATATATATATATATATATATATATATATATATATATATATATATATATATATATATATATATATATAATCTGAATTTCCTCATCTAAAGACTCCTGTATGTTTTGAACAAAGGAGTTAAATGAGATATGTCTTTGGTATGAATTGTCATAGTAAAGCCACATGTAGCACTATACCTGTCTATTATGTATGCAAAATGATTATCACACGTTGTCTTCCTTAGGATATACAAGTATGTTTAAAACTTAGAAAATATACTGTACATATTAAAAAGAACTGGTAAAAAACAAGCTTAACAAACTTATAAATGGTGTTTTACATTTCTATGGTAAATTTATATACATTATTATATCAAACCCGGAGTTTCCATATCAATAAAAAAGATATTGAAACTTAAGTGTATAACCAAAGAGCCACTCCATGTAATACACAACTCTAAATCTTACGTTTATTCACTGTAAATATTTATTTTTACCACTGAATTCATTATTATCCATTACAGTACTTTATTTATTACAGGTATCCCCCTGTTTACGATAGAGTTGTGTACCTGAAAACTCCAACGTAAATCAAATTAATGTAAATCACAAGGCTTTAAACATGGGTTTCAATGACATACGATCTTGGCCTGTCCAACGGACTTGCAACACAGAAAAAACGATTCTACACTAATTAAATAATTACCAAAAAATATTAACAACACTTGCCACATTAATAATAACAAGCTGCCTTTCAATGATGTCTAACTTTGTCTCCTGAGACACGATCTACCTCGAAGCCTTGGTTTTCCCAGAGACACACGAGTCGGCAGGAGATAGCTAGGCATTTTCGAAATTACAGTTACACTGATCACTTCACAGTCACCAAAACAGAGCAAAATCTGAACAATAATGTTTTCCTCTCACTAGTAATGGCAAAGTATCACAGCGATCGCAATGATACGCAACGATTAATATCGATAACATCTGCTACACGAGTGAGGGCAGATGCTTTTACTTTTTACTTTGAAATAGAGCGCGGGACTGTAGTTCGCATGGTGGCCTTACTTTTATCCTCTTCGCCACTGATTGGCTTGTTTGCCACTTGGGCAGTCCTTCACGTCTCTGATATGCACTGTTGGCATATATTGGGCATGCACTGGCTCCTGAATATATCGGAACCTGCTCCAGTGTTGGTCAAGTTTGGCCTTGAATGAGCTCACACTCGGTGCTGTCACAATGCTCTCCGGCAGACCGTTCCATGAGTTCACAATTCTCACTCCGAAAAAAATTGCCCTCACAGTTTTCTGGAGTTGTGGCTTCAACCTTGAGCTGTGATCCCTTGTGGGGCGGATGTTCGCCAGCTGCAGGCATGTATATTCAACCGAGTAGTGCCCCCTGAGATGTTTATGCACTTCTGGGTAACTGAGATTCCGTAGAGCAGACACCAGTCTGGTGGCCCTCCTTTGGACATTTCAATCAATTGACAATCTTTAGCATACCTCGGAGACCAGACAGGGTGACAGTTGTCCAGACGGGGAAGCACCTCACTCTTGAAGAGGGTGACGAGCGACGGACCATCCAGATATCTAAACGACCTTCTTATAAGACCTACTAGTTTCGCTGCCTGATTCACTTTCTCACAATGGCCCGAGAACTTCAGTTCATTGTTGGCATACACACCCAGGACCTTTTCATATTCGGTCTCAGTTAATGCAGTGTCTTCGTCCTGTTGGGATATGTGATGCGCCTCCTTACTAGTGTTGCGTCCCAGGTGCATCCTTTTGCACTTCGTGACATTGAATCCTAGCAGCCATTTCCTCGACCATTCTTGAAGCTCACAGAGATCTTTCTACAGCTCTTCACAGTCTGTTTGGTTCTTAATTTCTCAAAATAACTTGGCATTGTCTGCAAACATTTGTATGGAGGAGTGTATAGCTTCTGGCATGTCATTAATGAAGCAGACAAACAACAACGGGTCCAATACACATGATGATTTCGTACCATTTATCACCACGCACTGTTTGCCTTCACGCAGAAAGTCTCCAATTCACGCTTGGATACTAACCCCGAATCCTGTACCCTTCCAGTTTAATTCTGAGCCTTTCATGGAGTACACTGTCGAGAGCCTTGGCAAAATCTCGGTATATTTTGTCGATATTTCTGCCTTGTTCTAGAATTGAGTCCAAACATCTAGTACCTGAGTAACTGTGTTAAGCAGGATCTTCCCGGCATAAAACCGTGTTGGCACTCCTTTACACAGCTGTTTCGTAGCAGATGTTCCATCATGGCATCTCGTACGATGCTCTCTTGTACTTTGTACACTATGCTGGTCAGGCTCACTGGTCTATTATTATTCGTGGAGTGACGATCGCCCTTCTTGAAAAAAATAGGACTCACATAAGCCATCTTCCAGTCATCGGGGACTTTTTGCTCCTCAAAGTATTTGCAGAACGGGATCTTATGGGGCTCCGCAAACTCATTACACAGTTCTCTTAACACTCTGGAGTGTACCATATCTGGGCTGGGACACTTGTGAATCTTTAACTTTGACAGTTTATTTCTTATAACCTCGTCCTAGAACACAATGTGAGTCAGTTCTGTGTCAAAACATCTTTCCTAAAATGCAGGAAGATTGTTTGTTTCCTCTCTTGTGGACATCAAATAAAAAAAAATTGTTCAATGCCTCTGCGCGGGTAGGTAAACTGCCCAGAGGACGGAAAAGCAATTTTTGCACATATTGGCCATCTTGGATTTGACAAGTGAGGGGAAAGGTGCACTTCCCCAATGTTTACACTCCGCATCATCGAGTATAGCCTAACAATAATTATCGCCAACGCGGGTTTTGCCAAATATAAATCGCGAGAGGGCATTAAAACCTAATTATGGTTAACACTGGCTTATTTGGGAATTACTGGCCACTTCGCCTTTAGGCTATTTTTGCCAGGGAAGGTTAACACAGATTATCATAAATTGAGGGATACCTGTATTGGGTCTGTCATCCCCTAGACCTGCCACATTTACACTACCTAAATTTTGACTAGAAGTTGATTGATAAAGCAAGTTCATGGATGACTTTAATATGCTTAGGTATTTATTTGCTTATGTGGTGTATGTTTCAGTTATCATGAATCATCATCACTCGCTGGGTGAAATATACTGGTACTGTACTAGTTTAACTAAGTTACAGTAATCTCATTCACTACTGTCCAAGTTTTTTAAGAAATACAAATCAGTGAATGTTAACATTTGACTCCTAGGAACATGTAAGTACAGTCATGTAAGTATGTGCTGGCAGAAATAAATAGTCCTCATTTTGAATAAATAATCAATAAATGTACGAAAAATAAAACTTATCCTTAAAAATAATGCATTTGTAAATGACATTTGAAAGAGAGAAAAAAAGATACTCTGCATTAATACATTTCAGAATGTTCGTTACACTAACATCCAGCAATTCTCATATTCAGAACCTCTGAAGTTGTAGCTAAAATTGTTTTAATAGTCTAACATCCCCCCACAAAAATACATTACTTATAACCTATTTAACCATTAGATATCAGGTTTCAGGCCTATATTTGTGAACACAGTAACAAACATCAATGCACTCAGATGTATTTGCCAAGGGCTGAGTAGAAATCTTGTAGACAGGAAAGAAGATGAGGGAAACTAGCACGATCTTCAGGCGTTGGGGCCCAGCAACGGGCCATCATTCCAAATCTGAAAGAGAAGTACAGTACATAATATTGAAAACTCAGAAGTGAAAAATACAGTAGTGTACATCCCTGTATTGTACCACGAGTTTTTTTAAGTTTGATTATAATGACTTAATTAATTTCAGTGGTTTCAATGCAGTAAACTAAAAAAAGATTTCATCAACATACTTTTAATAATTTTAATGACCTTGACAATGTTACTGGCAGGTGAGGTACTCACAATTCGTCGGGACAGTTGTGGGGCTGGGCCAAGCGGTAGCCATCCCTTAAGTACGCAGCCATTTCAAAGGGGTCAACTTCAATATAGGGTTGCTGAGCCAATGTTGTTAACTCCCACAATAGAACACCAAACATCCACTGGGAACAAAAGATGAACCATAATTATAAAAGAAAAATGCTAACGAACGCGCATGATTGCCGTAAGTGTCAACAAAGGCTCTAAGAGACTGCTCCTTAAAAGTCGTATTTCTGATGAATTCAGAGAGTTTACTAATCTCAGTCTGTGCAGAGAACTATAGTAAGACCCAGTTATCAGCACAGTGGCATCTCTTTTTTTTTTTCTTTTTTTTTTAAGTTTTGGACTTTGTTATTTTTATTTGATAAAAACATCTGGTCCTACCACCCAATCCCTCTGGTCAAAGATTTTTAAGTTTGCGCATGCGTAATGTGATGTGTGACGTAGCAGTGCCGTCTTTACCACTGCACCTCAAACAAGCCAAACTATCTACCTGACTGCAGTGTTGCCAACGTGCCCTATGCAAGATAATGTTGTAAAACCTAGTTTGCCTGTTTATCGTGAAGGAGAAAACATCGCCTCCTACCTTGTTAGGTTTGAACTGGTAGCTGAGCTGCTTGGTGTGGACAAAGATAGCTATGCTGTAAGATTAGGTAGCCTACTGAGTGGTAAACTGGTACAGATTTATACGTCCCTGTCTGCCAACTTCACAAGAGATTACTCTTTGTTGAAGCAAGACTTCTGATGGTTATCATGTTGATTTCCGCAGAACAAAGATTAGGGCAGGGGAAACATACCAGCAATTTTCAATCCACCTGGGTCATTTGTTTCAACAATGGCTAGAAGCGTCAGAGGTTGAGGAAACCTTTGTGTCTCTCGCTAATCTTATGATATTGGATCAGTTTCTGTCTTCCCTACAGCCAGACCTAAGAATATTCATCAAGGAACACAGGCCAGCGACGCTAGGAGAAGCTGTAGACTTGCTGACAACTGGGCGTCCACTCGCAACGCCTACCCCAAGTCTCCCACTTCAATTCCCCAGTGAAGAACATGAAGCCTCCGTCCGCCAAGGAACCATTCACAGGAGTAGAGAGGAGTAGTTCACCGGCCGTGCTGTGCCACAACTGCGGAGAAAAAGGGCACTTTCGTTCTCGCTGTCCCAGGAATCCCCGCGCCTTCAAATCTACCGACATTCATCAGCCCAGCTACAAGGTCGGATTCTGTTTGGAAGACAGGAGCTGTCCCCATTATTGTGTCAGCGGAACGATAAATGGGTCTTGGGCATCTACTTTCATCAGAGACACCGGTTGCTCATGCATTATTGTCTCTGAAGACGCCCTGCCTGCCGCTGACGTCTCCAGCTGCTCGAAGGTTAGTGTTGCCGATTATTTAGGTTGTGTTGACCTGGGTCTAATGTGGTAAGAGCGCCCATTAAATTCCCCAGTGTTCTCATTAGTGATGTTCCCGGAGTTCATGACCCTAACGACCTGGAATCCTTAAAACTCTCCTCGCCACCTAACCATGCCGCCTCGCCACCCGCCGACTTCGCCTCGCCACCCTCACACGCCACCTCACCTCCAGCAAAGGTCCAAGCTGTGGAGACACGGTCGGCGAAAGAGAAACGACTGCATCCCCTGGTTCTGCTGAAATTGCTGTCACTGACTGTAACGCCCAAGGAGTTCGCCAAGCTTCAAGCCTTGTGTACCAGTCTGACGCGGGTGAGGGAGAAGGTGACTTCCGGGGAGGAGGATCAGGCTAGAGATGGGTCTGTTTACAAAGTTTGTTTGTATTAATGGTCTGTTACATAGGTCTTGTGTGTCATCCAAGCAACCAGCCAAAGTAGGTCGGATTTTACTGGTTGTCCTTGATGACTGTCGTAGCAACATTATCACTGTAGCTCATGAGAGCCCTCTAGCTGGACACTGTTCTCGTAGGAAGACTTATATGAAGGTTGCTGATCAGTTTTATTTGCCAGGTATGGAAGTGGATATTAGAGCTTTTTGTAGTTGTGATCAGTGCCAGCGTATGTCTGCCAAGGGTAGAGTCCGTCCTGTTTCTCTTAACCCTTTACCCATCATTACAGACCCATTTTCTCGGGTAGCCATAGATTTTGTTGGACCATTCTTACCCCCTTCCTCTAAGAAGCCTAACTTATATACAGCTAATTTGTTAATGAAATATCATCGCAGGGCCTACACTAACTTTGCTCGTGTCCTTGACGTTGTTCCCAAGCTGGAGTCAGTAGAGGCACCACCCTGCAAGAGTTAGTGTGAAGTTCAGGCGCCAGACTCGGATGATCTCAGTTGTCAGTTACCGATAACACCAGATGGTATAGAAGAATCCTCTACGACTGGCAATAGGCCCAAACTTAAGCCTGGGCCGAAGTGGATCCCACGTGCAGTTCCTTGATATGGCCTTACGATATTTGGTTATCAAGTTACCACTTATTCTTTTTAATGTGACCTTTCTCTATTCTTTATTTTGCTCTGTATATTTAATCATTTGCTGTAGGATTGTTATATGTTTGTTGTACTAATCTTAAGTTTTAATCTACCTTACAGTATATTTTTGTTGGGGGAGCTGTGTAAGGGCGGTAACGAGCAGGATGGTTGTCCGCCGCTCGTTTGCTTGTTCGCGGCCCCACTAGGGGTGGTAGACGGAGGTGAGAAGGTCGCTGCTGCTTCGTCACACAGCAGACACTGCCCAGCCAGCACCACAGCTGCACTTCCTCCGCTGTTCGATTACAATTCTGGTTGTGTGCTCATCTGAGGCTCCTGGGGTTCGTGGGCTAATTCCCCAGTCCTTCACTATTCGGCTGTCAATCTCCGGACACCTCCTCCAGCTACTACCGCGGCTGCCACGTCATCGCCACTTCCCCCATGCCCTATTCACCGTCTGTGCCCTGGCGTCTCTCCTGTGTGGCAAGACATCACCCACCAATGCTGGCACCAAATGAGGAAGCTGCCCTGGACCTTCCCCCTGACAGCGGACCACCGCGTTAACGGAACATTCCACCGGGCTGTCGCCGTAGGAAATATCTGTACTTTGTTTGACTCCCATAATTGTTTGACTTCCGTAATTGTTTGACTCCCGTAATTGTTTATTTAATATTTGCGTGAGTGGTGTCAATTATTGTGATTATTTTCGTAGTAAAGAGATGTCAATCTCTAACGGTTGTTGTTTCCCCTGGAAACCCACGGTTCTTGACTTTCCTTTTATAAGATCCTGATTAGGCTGGCAAGGGATTTATATCCCAAAGTCCTAAGCCTTTACAACTGGGCAGGAGCTTTCTCCCCTGAGGCACTTCCAGATCTGATGCAGGAGGCAGTGCAGGCCCGCATCGATGCGTCTGAGCCTGTTATTCGTGCTGCTCTTACCTCCCCTGCCCTCACTGATCATCCCATCACACAGTTCGAGCTTGACAGTGCTCGTCGCTCTAGAAAAGACACCTCTCCTGGGGATGATCAGATAACCTACTCCGTCCTCAACACCTGTACTAATATTCCTAACGGACCTTGCTCGCTCTCTACAATATGTCTTATGAACATGGGGTTCTCCCGTCTAACTGGAAAAATGACACTATTATCCCCATCCCTAAGCCGGGAGATCCTGGGAAATATCGACCCATTAGTCTTACCTCCTGTGTTTGCAAGATGATGGAGAGGATACTCCATTGTCGCCTTCTTCATACCATAGGCGGCTTCCACAACTCCCTCAATGGTTTCATTCAACATCGCAGCACAGCACACTCCATTGCTTCCTTTTATTGCAATCAGAATGCCCTCGTCTCCGTCTTCCTTGATATCAAGGGAGCCTTTGATATAGCTCAACCTGCCCTCATTTTAGCTGAACTTGCACGGTTAGGGGTTAAAGGGAGACTTCATTGATGGATCGCCTCTTACCTCACTGGACGTCAGGCCCGGGTTTGCATTGAAGGCTCTATATCTCCTGTTCAAGAAATGAACCTCAGCACCTCCCAAGGTGGAGTCCTGAGTCCCACCTTGTTTAACACTCTAATGCACTCTATTGCATCTCTCCCGTGGCCGACAGAAGTTGTCCACTCAGGATATGCCTCCAAGCTCCTGACTACCTCAGCATGCAGGAAGCTCTTGATCTGTTCTCCAGAGTGTGATTCACTTGGTTTCCTTCTTTCAACTACGAAAACAAAAGCCATGTGGCATGGTCGTGTTGTACCTCCCCCCCTTCTCTTATCAGGAACGCCCTTGGACTGGGTTAATGAGACAAAATACCTGGGTGTGAATGTAACTCGCACACGTTGTCAGATCCCTGAAGTCCGCTATCTTCGAGACATATGCTTTCGGCGCCTTGGTGCCGCCATCCTGTACTTCTCACCATGTACAAGTCCTTTGTCCGTTCCTGTGTCGACTACGCTGCCCCTGCCCTCGTCAACATTAGTCGGACTGCTGTCAACCGTCTCGAAGTTATCCAGAGGAAAGCTGCTCGTATCATCCTCGGGGCCCCGCAGTGGACATGCTCTACTTCTCTATATACCGAACTTGGTCTTTCCCCCTTACAGGATTGTGTCCAGGAGTTTTACCTAAAAACTACCGTTTCCATTCTACAGGATCCTCGGGGCAAATATGTCCAAGCCAACTTGACTCCTGCTGTCTGAGGCCGACCTCCATCTAGATGACAGTGGTGAGGGTCACTCATCCGAGCCCTTCAGGAACACGACCTCCTGCCTGATATTGTTGTCACCCCTGCTGTTGGTTTGTCTCCTTCTCCGTGGCTGTATTTTCAACCTGGAGTGATTGCCCTCGGTGGACCGCTCCCGAAATCCCACGTAAACCCTGTTATTCTCTGCAAATACCACCTCTACAGGATCGCCCATTGGTCCCCAGGTAGGGTCGTCCTCTACACTGATGGCTCTGTTGACCCCGCTACAGGTAGGGCCAGGGGTGCTGTCTACATCTCCTGTCCTGATGCCCCTGAGCCTATCAAACTTTATCTCAAGAGTTTCTGACGGGGCATCCTCCACTCAGGCTGAACTGATAGCCCTCCTTGCTGCCCTTCTTGATGAGGAAGAAGCCGATGGTTTCTGCCCCTTACTTGTCTGCTGCGATTCCAGGTCTGCTCTCGACAGAGTCGCATTTGGATCAGGGGAAAATAAGGACCTCATCCTCCGAATACAAGGGTTAACATCCACCCTTCAGGATGTGACATTCCTATGGATACCCAGTCATGTCGGTATCTTGGGGAATGAGGCAGCAGATGGCCTTGCCAAGACTGGCTGTAACAAGGCCACACCTGACTACGTTGTTCCTCGAACACTTTTACAGTTTAGGACCCAAATTCGCCGCAAACAGAGAGAAGCTCGGGAAGCAGCCATCCCCCTGGACTCCCCGCCCACTTGGTACGATGTCCTCCGTAAACTTCCTAACCTCTCGTATGTTTATGGGAAAGGGTCGCGGAAAAGGGACGTTATTGCTGCCCGTATCATCATTGGGTAAGACTTTGCTTGGGAGATTGGTATCCCTGCATCCCCTGAGCAACGCATTATGCAGAAGACCCGACAGCAGCACCCTTGTCCACTACCTCCTTAGATGTCCATACACACAATGCTTCCGTGACGCCTGCTGGACCACCACTCCACGACCCTCTGATGGAGACACAATGATCCTCCCCATACTGGCCAGATATTATGTAAATAATATTGATGATGTGTTCAAGGATTATCCTTCCTTCCTTAGGCTTTAGTATGCACCTTTATAATATTTATATATACTTGTGACACTTGCCAGATGTTCTGGTGTTATTGTACAGGGGTACCTAGTGACAGCACTAGGATCCCGCTTCCTCTATCAATAAGTAAATACTGAAATTGAATTGATTTGAAAAATGCTAAATGTTTATACTGTAACAGTACATATATACTGTACCGTACATGGAGTAATTGGATTGCTCATACATTCCATAAATTGAAATTACTGCATTGAAATAATACACTTAGAACAATCTATAAATATTTTAAGTAACAAAAGTAAAACAATATCATTAACTTACCACATCATTGGCAGGAGTGAACTGTTTATGGATAAGGGCCTCAAGGCTAAGCCACTTCACTGGGCGGTTTTCGTTGTCACCCAAACAGTGGTAGTCCTGTGGGAACAAATCACGAGCAAGTGCTGTATCTGACACCCGGACTTGGAGTTCTGAATCTATCCTGAAAAAAAAAAATACATATATATAGTATCATTAGTATAAATTGGTGAGAATGCCAGTGTATGTCTTTCTGGATAACATTGAGAACAATTATTATGCCACATTCCTCGTATTGATGTGTCAACCTACTTTTAAGGAGTGGGGACTTCCAAGGGCCCTCTCAGCTGGCAAGGCAGGGTTGCTACTCCCTGAGGTAATCAAAGATTACCTGCATAGTTTAATTTTTTTATTACTCTGGCTTGACCTGGGACCACCAGGTGGTAGCCATGAAGATATGGTGTTCATCTCTCTTCCCGAAGGTTATTGGGTTGAACCTGGTACACCCTCACACCCTCAGCTTGCTTATCTGTCTGAGTTACGAACTTTACAAATGGGAAAATTAAGGTGGTCAAGTGCCAGTGCAAACCACACTGCTTCTTGTGTACTGGAGGCTTAGTTCTAAGTGTGTTGTTATCCATACTGTCTCAAATAGGCCATGAAGCCTATTGGACCCACCGTCACCTCTACACCAAATAGTTCAAGTGACTAAAGACAAAGAGCACCAGAGAAGGGAACCATGAAAATTTTCAGAGAAATGGGATTTAATTACAATCCTAATGTGTTTTTGAATTAGGCAATATGTACAGACAATAAGTGAGAAACTGGAATGACTGTATCCCAAGAAAATTAACCAAGAACTTTCTTCCTTTTGACTATGGTAATACTGTACATACATGACTAGAGGAAGTAATTCTATTACCTGTACTTTATATAAGAAATACAATGAACTTTAAATAGTAAGAGTATTATGAGGGTAAGCTAATAATGAAAAGAAGTACAATATCACTCTTAAAATTATGATACATTACTTACAGACAGTTTCTGGTAGCAACATCTTTATGAAGAAGTCGTTGTTGGTGAAGGTGAATGAGACCAAGACACACTTGTATAGCAATGTGAACCACATCCCTGGTTAGGAGCTTCACACCTTCACTTGAGCCTCGGCTACACCCAAGTAAGTATCTGGTGGAAGAGGAACTTGTTTACTGATCAAATATTACAGAAAAATGGTGTTGATATTTTTCTTACCCACATCTAAACTATTTCTGAAAAAATTCTCCTACTTCGGTGAGAACTACAGTACCTGTATTATGCTCAACAGTTTTGTGAGTGTGATGCACCATAATAAAGTAAAAAACTATATTTTGCAAAGCATTTCATGAAATTTTTTATCATGAATTCCTTTTATGACTAAGGAGATGAAATGAGTGACCAGTGAGACCCGTACTGTTTAGGCCAGTGGCCCCCAACCTTTTGTAAGCTCTGGGACACATTTGTCCTTGTAAATTTAGTGGGGGGCGCCAAGACTTTGGATCTACATCCAAGAAAAAAATCTCAGATATACTATACAGTTACAGGGATATTTGCAGTTTTCCACAAATCTAACTGTTACCAGTTACATACTTTTTACATTTACTCTTGGATCATGCTTGGGAAAAAAACTTAGAAGTACCTGTATTGAAATCATCTTGTGTCACAGAGAGACTTCTGGTTGAAGCTAGTTTGATTAAGGAATTAAAATCAATAAACCTTAGTGATAGTCAGTTCAAAACTGATAATATGTTACATAAATTTATTTGTCAGTGGCCCAAGGTTAAAAATGCTTTGAAAACCTTGGATCTAGATGTAGGATAGTTATTTAGTGGGTCCCTTATTTTTGACCTGACCTGACGTGACTAATCACGTCGCCCCCTTTCACTTAAGCTCCTCTACATGTGTGTTGGTGTTGGTGTGGGGATTAGTGGATGACATCATTATGACCTGACCTCATGTTTAATAAGGTCACCCTGTATATTTAAGCCTCTCTCTGACCATGAAATCAAAATAGCAAGAGAATCCAAGGCAAATCCCAAGGGATTTTTCCAGGTATATAGAACAAAGGTCAAGGGCAAAGTTGGGCCTTTAAAGTCAGGGAGGGGAGAAGTGATAAATGGCAGTGAAGAAATAAACAAAGCATTGAACAGCTACTTCTTATCAGTTTTCACAGAAGAAATTAGCGAGGAAATTCCAGAGGTGGAACTGATATTTAGGGGAAAGGAAGAAGAGAAATTAAAGAATATCACTATCAGAAAAGAGGATGTTCTTCAGAGGATAAATTGACCTCTGACCCAGCTTGGAGAAGGTCGTGCCCGATCGTGCTCCCGTTAGAGACCAAGGAAAATGGCCGCTTTGGATCGTTGTGTCGTGGGGGAAGAGGAGGGGAGTGTGGGGAAAGACGACCTCCTTGCCACTCTGTTAAGGCAGCTGGGGCAGTTGAGGAGTGAGGTTGACACTCTAAAGGGGGAAAATGAAGCCCTCAGGACGGAACTCCTTCAGGTAGGTGTCCTGCCTAGCAGGACACCTGCGAAGGAGGAGCAGGCGTGGAGAGTGGTTGTCTCCAAGGGGACTAGGGTCAGGCTCAGGAAAGCTGACCAGGGTGTGGAGTGTAGTAACCCTTACCAGGTGCTACAGGAAGCTGGCGAGGAAGAGAAGAGGCAGGACGGTATGGATCAAGGAGAGGAAAGGGCAGTTGTACAAACCCTGCCCACAGGTAAGGTCGTGGTAGTTGGTGACAGCCAGGTGAGGTTTATGGATAGGGCTTTTTGTGCGAGAGATAGGAAACGTAGGACTAGGGTGTGTTTTCCTGGGGCTGGGATAGGGCATGTAGCCGAGAGGTTAGACAGGGTTTTGTCAGGGGAGGGTACCAATCCAGTAGTGTGTCTTAGTGTGGGAGGAAACGAGATAGGTAAGGTTAGGAGTGAGGAACTTTTCAAGAGGTATAGGGAGGCGCTGGGGAAGATTAGAGATAGGGGAGGGATCCCGATAGTATGTGGTGTCTTGCCTAGAAGAGGGGTTGGTCGTGAATGGCTGTCCAGGGCAATTGCTATAAATTGCCGACTGGAAAAACATTGTGCAAACAATGGTTGGGCATTCATTGATAACTGGCAACGATTCTATGGCAACGACTACCTGTACTGTCGCGACGGAGTACACTTGTCTCGTGAGGGGGTAAAGACGTTGTCTGCATCCCTGGAGCGTGAAATTGTCACTCCGAAGGGGGGGTTTCGCCAGTAGAGAGGGGTCGGGGAAAGTGGGAGTCAAAAAACAAGCAGGTCCTGGGAAGTAAAATTAGTTGCTCAGGAACAAGGGGTAAAACAGGACCAGGGAAGAGTAGGTTTAAATGTATATTATACAAACAGTAGGGGCAGTTCAAAAGATATCGAAGTCTTTAAACTGCTAAGGGAACATATGGGCACGGGGGTGGAGGAGACTGCAGTGGGAGCGGGTAAACAAAGTGAAAGACTACAGGGAAATAGTGTTAGGAATGATGACAAAACTAAATTAGACAGGGAGTTTAAAACTAAATGCGGTAAGGGGAGGACTCAGAACACGACTAACTTAAATGTATACTACACGAACAGTAGAAGTATGAGAAACAAAATGGATGATATTAGGGCCTTGGCATGTACCGAAAAATCGATATAATTGCATTCACTGAAACATGGATCAACCTAGACACACGTGAGTTACCAGTCGAATACCAAATTGCGGGATACAAACTGTTCCATACCGATAGGCAGACCAGGAAAGGAGGCAGAGTAGCAATCTATGTTAGGGATAATCTGAAGTGTGAAATAAATAAGGAAATAAAAACTGAGAGGAATACAGAAACAATTTGGATAGAATTAAGCGATGGTCGGGAAAAATTAATCACAGGAGTAATATATAGACCCCCCAGTCTTGATAGCGTCAATGAGCGACTTATCTGGGATGAAATGCGCAGGGCTTCCATACACAACAAAGTCTGTATAGTAGGCGACTTTAACCTTGGCCAAATAGATTGGACTGACCTTACGGGTAACTCAGAATCTCAGGATTTTCTCGAGACGATCCAGGACTGTTTCCTAAGTTAACATATAACCGAACCCACACGGGGTAATAATATACTGGACTTACTTCTGTCGAACAGAGAAAACCTAATTAGCAATGTCGAGGTAGGGAACGAACTTGCAAACAGCGATCACAAAGAAATTCGATTCCAGTTAGATTTTCAGGGCAGACGTAAGGAAAATTCCACTAAAGTACCAGATTTCAGAAGGGCAAACTTTGACAGTTTAAAGAGGCAGCTGAGAGAGGGGGTGTCGCGCTTGGCTGTGAACCTGACAGATGACACCGACCTGATAACGAGATCTGAGATTGCCGAGTTCCACGACAATTTAAATAGTGAGTTACTTAATGCACAAAGGCAGAACATACCATACAAAAAACTCAGATCAGACAACAATGACCCTAAATGGATAAATAATTATTTAAAGAACATCATTGGCCAAAGGAAGGCTATAGGTAGAAGGATAAATCGTGGCGAAATTCACCTCCGGGACTATTATAGGGTATTGGCGAGTAGGGTTAAAACCGAGATAAGGAAAGCAAAGGGGAATAATGAGGTAAGGATAGCAAGGGAGGCAAAGACAAACCCCAAAGGATTCTACCAAATGTATCAAACTAAAACACGAGAAAAGATTGGACCAATACGGTCAGACTTCGGCGAGCTCACTGATAACGACGGAGAAATGAGCAATAATTTGAATAAATATTTTTCAACAGTTTTCACCACAGAAAATTTAAACATGATACCCGAGGCACCGACTCTATTCAGAGATAGTGAAGAAAACAAATTAAGTGAGATAGTAGTGACTAGTAACGATGTTAGTAAGCAAATAGACAAACTAAAGCCTAATAAGTCACCTGGTCCCGATGAGATATTTGCCAGAGTATTAAAGGAATGTAAGGAAGAGCTTAGTATGCCCTTAGCAAAGTTGTTTAACATGTCATTAAAAACAGGTGTAGTACCAGAATCCTGGAGGATAGCGAATGTAATACCGATTTTCAAGAAGGGGATAGATCACTATCCTCTAACTACCGCCCAATCAGTCTAACATCAATAGTAGGCAAATTACTGGAAGCAATCATTTCAAACTCTATTCGAAATCACCTGGAGAAGCACCGATTGATCAATGATTCCCAGCATGGCTTCACAAGCGGACGTTCTTGCCTAATTAATCTATTAACATTCTTTTCATCAGTTTTCGAATCGGTGGACGAGGGGCACAATTATGATGTGGTATATCTCGACTTTAGCAAAGCCTTCGACAGAGTCCCCCACGAAAGACTAATTAGAAAGGTAGAAGCTCATGGCATCAAAGGTGACATCCTTAAATGGATTAGGGCGTGGTTACAGGACAGGAAACAGCGAGTGAGCATTAACGGCACTAAGTCCCATTGGAGCAACGTCACAAGTGGAGTTCCCCAAGGCTCAGTACTTGGACCATTATTATTTATTATATACATAAACGACATAGATATCAGCATTGACAGCAACATAAGTAAATTTGCTGATGACACTAAAATAGGACGTGTTATCAAATCTGACGAGGACTCGGCAAAACTACAGGAAGATCTAAACAAATTTTTCGAATGGTCTGAAAAATGGCAGATGAAATTCAACGTCGACAAATGTAAAGTACTCGGTATAGGAGATGTAAACAGGGAAACCAGATACCAGTTGAACAACGATGCCATAGAGAAATCCGACTGCGAGAGAGATTTAGGAGTAATGATAAGTAGGAACCTTAAGCCAAGTAAACAATGTCTTTTTGCTTGTAACAAGGCTAATAAAGTACTTGGGTTCATACAAAGGAGTGTTAGTTACAAGACTAGCGAGGTCATCCTAAAACTGTATCTTGCTCTTGTGAGACCACACCTGGATTATGCAGTTCAGTTCTGGTCACCGTATTACAGAATAGATATAGAATCCTTGGAAAGAATTCAGAGGAGAATGACAAGACTAATCCCGGGCATTAGGAACCTTGAGTATAGAGACAGGTTAAAGCATCTTAATTTGCACTCCCTTGAGAGACGTAGAGCGAGGGGCGACCTGATAGAGGTGTATAAGTGGAAGGCAGGGCTAAACAAAGGGGACATTA